CTTTTTTTCTCTCCTTTTCAAGAAGGTTTCTTTTCACCAAGACCTATATTTTAGCAGCCTGTCCTTGTTCCCCTTCTTCCCCACGTTCTTCTTCACACTGAAGCTCATTTAGGATACTACTATCTATTTTGGAAGCATATACCCTTATCTATGGTCAGGTAAACAAAAGGTCCCTGAATACTTTTCACACATACGTGCAAACTACACACATAATCAAATTGAAGGGGAAAATAGAAGTCATTAAATTGATATTACATGTAATTATCTTATCTTGTCACCTCAACCCTCAGCAATTTACCAGGCTTGGGACAGTGGGGACCACAATGGAGCTAATTAACAGGCAGCATGCATGTCTACTTTAGAATTTCCAAGTGTCTGGTCGGTGACAAAATGAAATCTAATTATTATGATATTTTATTAAGTGGTTTGTCAGGCACTACATAATTACTTCTTCTGAAAAAAAAGTGATATGAAGATTATGGACGTCAGAAAACTAGACGCTGTTGGTGATATTTTTGTAAGACTAACAATTGCAGTGTAAGTTTTAAGGAAAGAGAAGCAGATGAAACAGTATTGTGAGACTACAGTGAATGTTGTTTTTCCTACTGTGTACAATTATATGTAATTAGATCTGTCCTTTTTTTATTATGTTGTCTTAAAAATTAATTTTACCTATCTAGGTACTGAATGAGCTTGTAAATAAGATAGCAAGATCAACATAGTCTAAAGAAATAATTAGTAACAATTTAATAGAAATTGTTCTGTTCAGGCTAAATCAATAGTAATGGAGATGAATAAATGGGTGGAAACCTTAAGTAATTACAAATCCTTTAAATTATTCTTGAAATAGAAGACAGGGAGAAAGAGCAGATTTAATTATTTGCTTCATAGATGCATGACAAGAGAACTTTCCCAGTTTGCTCTTTGTTCTCTCTTTTCTAAAATGCACTTTTTTTTTTTTTTTTCAAATGCAGCTAGTGTTCAGCTTCAGGTACCTTCTTGGGCTTCATATGCAACCCACTTAGCTAAGCTGAAGCTAAACATACCAAATCAAGTACTCTGTTTTTTTCCCCCTAAACTGAACTACAAACTTCAGTGGAAGAAGCAGACTTCGAATTGCATTAACTGCTATACTGTAATTTCAGACTGTTTATTTTTGGCACAACACTATACACATCACTGTGAGGAGGAAAGACCATTGTGGTGTTTTGTACTGTAGAGAGGAACTTGTAAAAAGTAACAAATTTCCGTTTATTGAATGCATATGAAAAAATGTGTTGAGCTGGGTAAGGTGTATAATAGTCTAATACTCTGTTTTTTTATTCTTCTGCACCATAGCAAGTTCTGCTTTGGCATGTAAATACATTGTCCACATTGTACTTTTTGACTTCTTATTGTGGATGTTAGTTGCAGAAGAATTTCCCCATGGACAATTGAGATGTATTCTGGTATCTTGAGGATGGGATATTTTGACAGACTATCTGTAGTGTTTTCCTGTATTTATAAACTGTACTGATCTCCAACAGTTATTAGCTTTATGGTGCATCATAAAGGAGGAAAGAAATCCTCAAAGGGCAAAGAAATGTCAAGGATGACTCTAAAGGTACCAGCTAAATTATAATTAAGGAGAATAAATTGGAGAGTGTTCTGTACAGCTGGGTGGTGCCCTTGTGATCATTTCTGAAAACCTAACTGGTATTTTGGTGTTTCTGACTCAGAGAAGCAGCATAAGAAAGATTGTATATTGAAGCATTTGTCAATTACCTAATGCTGTTTTAGTATAAACTATTCTTCAACAATCTGAGTTATTACTGAATAAGACCATTCTCAATTAAAAAAAAAAATGAATGACTGAAGTGAAAGAACAAAAAGGAAACCTTCTTGTTTAGTGTTTTGGATTAATAGACCAGTGTGAAATTGATTCAGACTTTAAAATAAATGGATGATTTAATTTTGTTTAATCTTTCTCCCTTCTCTAGCTGGAAAGGCAACTACTGATGCAGAATCAGATGAGAGAGAGACAAGCAGCCATGCAGATTGCTTGGACACGAGAATTTCTCAAATACTTTGGGACTTTTTTTGGACTTGCTGCTGTAGGTTTAACAGCTGGGTATGAAGTTTATTTCCTAATAGAAAATGTAAATAGATACATTACAAAGATATTTCTATAGTTTTGGCTCGTCCTGCTGCATTTTTTCAGGTAGTTATTTTTATCCAGTAACTTCTCAGAGGTAGATCAAATGACAGAATGACTCAGTTCATTTCTGTCTGCTTCTGGATGAGTTCTGGATATGTCTGTACTGTGTATTTCTAAAAAATAATAATAAAGCAGCAGTGTGAGCTGGCAACAAAATTTAATGTGGAATGGGAGGGATTGTTTAAAAGCCATACTACTTTCTTGTCTGTGTTATGGTTTGATGAACTATTCATTAACAACAAATCCCTTATCATCTGAATTTTTTTAATATGTCACTGAACAGGTGGATATAGTCTGAAATCTGTTCACTTGAAATTTGAATCAAAAAACTCAAAAATTTGTGTTAGAAAAACCAAATGGCAACAAAGTTGTATTGCATGAGAAAGAACTTGCCTTAGGTATAGGACTCTTGGTTTTGGTAAAGTGGTTTGCTTGTGCTATAGAGTGATTAGAGGGAATATGAGAAATATTTGTTTTACCCTCTGCAGAGTGCAGGTTACATGCACCTTATATATTATGCATTCCCTGTGCACTGGGATGCATTCGGAGTTAACTATAATATTCTGATTGCTGCATGTTGCATGTGGCTGTATCTTGACTACAGTTTGACATGGATATATGCATGTGCACATGCGTGCTATGCTGGTTAGACAAACTTATTTCTTGTTAAGTACATTAAGAACCTCATTTGAAGTGTTTTTTTTTTTCATACTCTTGATAGTAGAGCAAGACTATCTGCCCAGAAGGGGATTTAGTACTTCTGAGGAAATTAGGACTTGTATATCCTTCTGCGCTCTTTAATCAAAGTCGCACAAGTCCTAGAAAACCAAGGTCACCTTGGACTAACAGTACTGACATGCTGAATGCCCTAAATAATCTTATTTTTTCTTGTTCTTTTTTAAAAACAGAGCAATCAAAAAGAAGAACCCAAGACTTCTACTGCCAATAGTTCCCTTAAGCTTTATATTTGCCTATCAATATGATATGGGCTATGGGACAATGTTGCAAAGGATGAAAGGTATGTATGTAGAAGTTTATCTGGCTCACACATAGAACCAATGTTAATATATCAGGCAATCTCATGTCATTTTAGAATGGCTGGGAGAGAATGTGCAACAACTTTTTTTTTATGTTTAATCTCACTCCTACATTTTTCTTTTCTTTCCTCTCTGTTACAGTCAGATATTTTGCCTGTCAAGAATATTCTACTCACTCTACTCTTACAGCGTTTCCCTCCAGTTCAGATTCCGTGTTGATTTCTCCTCGCTTGATTCTCTTAAAAAATGTGAATTGTAAGACAATAAATACAGCTGAAATAAGCACAGCATATTTTAGATGCTGCTTTTTTGGCAAGGGATCAGGATGATAAGAGCAGGTGAGGGCATACAGAGCAGGAATCATGCCACTTCCGTGGCTGGACAGAGTCCTCAGCTAATCATGTTGCTGGAGTACCTTGCTAAAATGTAAAAAGAAGGGTGAGTCGCAGAAAGTGGGGTCTTGCCTCATAGTTGCCAACAGTGGACCTCCTTAGGTGATCAGTGTTGAGGATTGTGGAAAATCGGACCAGTTCATCTACATTCATTCTGATTCCTGGTGAAGGAGGTGTGCTGAGAGAATGTTCACTTTAAGTCTCCTGATTGGAAAGACAGCACTGGACCATGCCTTGTCACCTTCATAAACCATTTTAGCTAAAATAGGTTGACCTTGCAGTCTGTTACTGAACAGAACACAGAACATAAGCAAAACTAAATAAAAGCTTGTTTCAGCTCTTTGGTTTAGGTTGAAGTTCTAAGAACTAGGTTTCCTAACTTGTGTACTTTGTTGAGAGTAATGCCAGATTAATCGAACAATCACTGAGATACTTCTGTTGTAAATGGGTGCAAACGTTTGGGCTATCTATTCACCATTGTGTATCTGCGAACATTTATGAACGTTCCTAAACCCCACTAAGTACTTTTCCTTGAATTTTTAATACAAAGAGGCAGCTAAGCACAGGGACAAAGACCGGGTGGCGCACAGAAGTTAGTGCTAGAAAGGAGATTAACTCATTCAGGGTGGAAGCAAAACTTAGAATCTGGTAGAATTTTTTTTTTGAAGTAATTTTTATTACAGAGTTCTGAAAGAGTAAACACAAGATAGTTCAAACCCCATAGCAAGAGTATGGAATGCTATTTAGTAGATATTAAAGAACAGTGTGGTCCTGTATAGGTTGAAAAGGGGTAATGTGGTATCTCTATTTGGAAAGTGATAGGGGAAAGTAATCTTTTTCAACTTCAGATCCATTGGGACAACTCCAGCCGTATGCAAGGACATGTTTTAAAGGAAAGAAGAACTATGGAGCCAAATGGGCAATAGGATAAAATGAAAGAAGTATGCCAAACTAATAGTGGTTTTTTTTTTCTAGGAAAATCAGTTTCCTTTTCAAAAAGGAATGTAGTAGATATACTGAACTCATGAAAACATTTAATGTGGTATCATATGAATATTAAGGTGCCATGAAGGACATGGGGATTAGTAGAAGGGTAAGCACTGGGACAAAGAGGAGACTTCAGAGAGTTGTGCCTAGAGGGGAAGGTTTGGCTTTAGCAGGGTTATCAGTGACGTTTCTGAAGATTTGGCCTAGATCTACTTTTGGTTTATATTTTAAATTATGAGTAGATTATACTAATAGAATTTGTGGTTGACAAACTTGATTGGTGTCATTGGCAGATAAAGAATAAAATGTAGTACAAGTGGAACTGATGAACTAAAGAGCTAGGATAATAAAATAGAATGCAATTAGGTAGGAACAGCATGAACCTAGAGACTAATAAGGATTTTTGCCATTGGAGCTCACCAGCTGGAAATGACAGGAAAAAAAGGAAAACCTGAGTATAGACCAGATATTAGCTAATCACAGAATGAGTATCATCCAGTACTGTGATGAAATCATGAAATAGACAAGGGAGGTCCAGGGACATCGGGTGAGATTTTCTAGTACAGATAGAAAAGTACTGATCCACAACAACAGTAATACCGTCCTTGGAGTTTTATAAATAATATGGGTTAGTTCTGTGTACGGAATCTAAAATAACTGAAGAATTACCAGGGAGTTCTGGACTTGGTTTGTGAGAGGAAGCTAAGAGGTCAGTTTGTTTAGCCTTCTAAAAAGACAACATGGATTTGGGTCTACAAACCCTACTTACAAGATATGGTAAAGGAAGATAAGGATGTTTATTATTTAAGCTAATTATTAATATCAGCACTAGAATAAATGGGGATAAACTGGCTTGGGTAAATCTAGGTTGGAAATCAGAAGAAGCTTTGTAATCATGTGGAAATGAGGTTTGGGGTACATCTTTTTTTTCTTTTCTTTTTTTTTTTTTACATAAAAATTAATTAGTTGAAAAGAAGGATTTATGACACAACTGACCTACAGCTGCAATCACTGTTCTTACTACTCAGCTGATCTGTGTCCACTCCCAGGCTCTGTTTTCAACCACTGCTCTGCTCGGCCATCTATACTATTTTGTAATGATGAAGCTATACACCATTCCCTTACTTTACTCTGCCTTCTTTAATTGGCCTCTTCACTCCCATACGCTTCACAGTCTTCAGCCTCACAGTCACTTCCTCTCTTCGCAGTCCTTGTTCCAAGGTCTTCCTTGCATCTGAACCATCTTGCTCAAGCAGTCCTTTATCTGCTCTCTTTCATTCTTTGGAATCAGTCCATAACCCTAGAAAGTCGCTCCATTTCTGTTTCAACAATTACTTTGTTTCTGATCTTGTTTAGTCTTGCTCTTTTATCCCCAGTCTACTTGTCCAGGTATTTTCTCACAACTTGTTCTCCCACATTCATATAGGAGGGCTTTTTTCCCCTATAGACAGCTTGGGCCAGTTAAGGGGAATACTGAGGACAGAGGAGAACGTACCTCTTTTGAGTTCTGCGTATGCTGTTCAGAAGCCTTAAGTGGGCCAGAGCCATGTATCAGAACTCAATCTTTCAGGGATGGCAGAGTTGCAGAACAGCCCCCAGGTGTGCCATCTTTCCTGAATGGCTGAGGACACGAAGAGTAAACAGTTTCACCAGTGCTAATAACTTGTGGTCATGGACTTCCTGTCTATGTTCTGGGCTTTCCTGTTCAGCTTTTCCACCTATTCCAGGCACATATTGCTGGTTCTTCTTGGATACATGATGGAGGGGAGGGATTATATAGCCAGCCTCCAACTGCACAGAACTTCTCAACTATGCAGTGAAGCTCTGGCTGCCTGTTCCAGGATTTAGAGGGGCCACTCTTACTGCCCTGAACCGTCTGAGGAGAATGGTGACTGGAGAAATATGCTGTAGTACATATCTGAGAATGTGTTGGACAGGCACAGAGATTTGGCTGCACCTGTAACATCTCTCTGCCACATAAGATCTTTTGCTGTTCCATAATCTGATGCCCTGTGTAACTGCCAAACATTGTGGTGTTTCCGGTCACTGGGAGTGGTAACCAGTGTCATCCTGTTGGATATTCCTGAGATATATATATGGAGATCCCACATTAATACTACCAGAACTGCAGTTGGAGATTGCAGCATTGAGACTTGCTTCAAAGAATGACCGCAATCTTGGCTGCATGACAATATTCAGGCAGGTTTATTGCATATAAACAGCGCTTCAACCCACTTACCCTAATGATCATCAAAACAGGAGTTAAGGCTTAGGTACCTGGGACAAGATTGTTGGCATAGCACCAAATGGCATCAGCCAAAAAACCCACACTCTGCCTAATCTTTATCCTGTCTTATGTCAGCAAGTAGACCACCACAACTTATGTAGTACATTCAATCTGTATCTTTGTTTTTTGGATACTTTGTCCCAGTTGTTCTCATTCCAGCCTTATCTGGATCATTCTGCACCATACAACTTTTTTCCTGCTGTGCTGTTAAGACTGCATGTTTGGATTGCTGTCTTAGCAAGCGTTTGTGTGAGCAATATACTTTGATTAATGCTTAAAGTCCTGTGCTGTCCACTTTTTGCCTGTAGCCTAACATCTTTCAGCCTAGGGCTGAGACAAGAAGAGAAGTTGTGCCAGACTGTGGCATGTCTAGGATGGTAATGCGTACAAGGAATTTACTTGTTAAGATTTATATACTGTTCTATGTGCATTTGTGATCTACCCTTTTCCCAGACTCGCCTAATTGGTCATATACTTTATGGAACTGGTATGAACTGCATCCTGATGTGAAGGCCTTGCTGTAACTTCCTGCCACCATTTCAGAGCATATGTGTAATGCACTTCTAAAAGAAATATAACTCAGGGTAGCTTTTAGGAGAAGGGGACTAACAGAAGCAACAGTAGAATTGTTTTGGCTGAAATCTTCCTCAGGCTGAATTTGTCTGAAAAGATATCTGTTTCAGACCAAACAGTTTTGCATGCAGTTATACCACTGGTCCAAAGACTAACTTAATACTACATGGCATCAGCTTCTTCGTAAAATACATAGCTGTGACCTGGTATTTAGTAATTCTGGCCCTCAACAAAAATAGCTAAAATTGAATTTGATTTTTTTTAATTTTATTTCTCACAGTAATGGTGAGGGGGTTTTTTTTTTTTTTTTCAGGTGAAGCAGAGAACATATTAGAGACACAGAGCACTCTGTTGGAACTGCCAAAAGGACCGCTTACTTATGAAGGCTTGGAAAAAATCAGAAGAGCTCAGAGCAAGTTCTCCATAGAAAAATAGGAAGATGGCAACAAAGTTTATATCTGAAATGAATTTAATTGTAATCATGTTTTTTGAACTTCAATGAATCATTTAAGTTTTGAGGAAATTAAGCACTTTTTTAACATTAAAGATAATTCATTTTTTAAAAAGTAGTACTTTCTAAAGCAATGATTTTTCTCTGTATTTCTTGAAAATATCCATGGTTGCTGTAGTATTTTTTTTTCTTGCTTAGAAGGCAACATTGAATTCCCACTGTCTAATTAAAGTCTGAAAATAACTTTTAACTGTGGCAAAAATGTATGATCCTGACATGAAAACTCACTGTAATCAATAAAAATAAGTTAATTGGTGGTTGCAAATTTGTATAACTCTGGCCATAATTTTCAAATATATTAGAGCTTCCACAGCTCAATTTGAAGTCAGGAATAGACAGCTGCTTTGAAAAACAAGACATTTTTTAGTTTGTGTTCTTCTGGCAATAAACTGGCCGTCTCTGCTTCAAATTCTGGAATAAACAGCTTTTATCAAGGAAGTTCAGAAATAAATACGTCACTTGCTAACTGTGTGTTTTACTCTTAGGAAAAAAACTGTTTTAAAGTATAAGCAGAAAATTTCTCAGAGAGAGAAAACAAATTATGTAGCTATTTCCTGAATCTTTTTATGCTTGTTTGACATTCTGAAACTCAAGATAATTTGTTGACACAAAATCAGTTTCACTGCTAAGATGAATATTAACTTAGGCTAGCAGCAGGCAAAATCATTAATGTATGTTTTGTAATGGTTAGATCCAAGGAACCTTACAAGTACTGGAAAATGGAGGGATTTTTTTGCATGCCTTTACTGCAGCATAGTATGTACTGAGAATATAATTTTAGTATATAGTTCAGTGTTCTGACATTATATTCGGGAAAAAAAAATGCATCTTTTTCTATTGGAAGTCTTGTTTACAAACAGATTGTCCTGTGTTTTGGGTGGAAACACTCAGTATTAATCTGTACAGTTGGAAAACAAATGCTCAAAAAGTATCTTGTACTGAATGAAGTCTAAGTCTTCTGCTAGTGCCCTTTTAAGCTGTAATTTTTGTATTAACAATTTGTTGAGTTAAAAAAAATTTAACTTCCAGCTGGAGATAATACCCAAATTAGAAACTGAGGTATCTTTGAAGACTACCTCACTGAAATGAGTGTATTGTTACAGTAAGAGAGGTGACTATATCATATAACCAACACTACTCAGAGTGTATCACAAAAAGATGAATTAATAGCACAGTTTTCACACCTTGTGTTAGATCACTTCCTGAAAGTGATTCCATTCACTTCTGCAGTCAAGCACTTTTGCAGTTGGTTCTGCATGGCGCTCTCATCTGCATGTTAAGGATATGCATACATCCCTTACCTGTAGCAGACTTAAAAAAGGGATGCATTTTAATGGGCAGTGATAAAATTAGGTTAAAATAGCTTGTTTGATTATAACAGCGTGGCCTAGACTATTAGGACTTAAGGTGGGGATTTTAATCAACTTTGGAGGCATTCTTCAGATCAGCCTATGGTGCTATGTATGTTTTGCTGGTTGACACACTTTGTGTACTCACAAATTGCAGACATAGACCTCATCATGTTTGCTGCCTGTTCTGTAGTGTAATGTCTCACCACAAAAACACCTGTCCAGACTTGCTGCTGTATTCTGTTCTGCTCCTGGGGTATATGTGTTCCTACTTCCTACTCCTGTTTTGGATAGCTGATCATCTAGCTTTCCACCAAGTTTTGAAGTGGGCCTTGCTTTAATTTTGAAGATGTTCTAACAAACTTTTGTGCTTCAGTCTCTATCATCTATTGATACTCCTCCTTCCAACAAAGAAAATTATACTGGCATGTTTTTGAACTGCCATTATACTGGCATCTGTTTGTCTTCACCTGTGCCTTTTAAATGCTGTGAAATAAATTTTTACAGGAGAGCAATTTTAATAGTTACATTCTACAGTTTTAGTTACAGCCCTTAGAAAATTAGGAAATATCCATACTGTGAGGTCTGAACTAGCAACTGTGTGTTTGTGATAGATGGCTTGCTATGGAGTCTGATCAAAGAGCGGTGCTAAAGGAGCCAAGCAGGCTAAGCAAAATAATGACCCAGATAGCAGTTTGTAGGAGATAGCAGGGCAGCTATTTATTATTTCATCCTACCTACATTTGAATCTTTTCCCCCCAAAGTTAAACTAAGATCAATAGTGTTAAGCCACTGCAAGATGCTATACAAAAAAGTAATGGAGGTAAGGGAACTTTAGCTGGATGTTTTCCAAAGAGTATCAGTGAAAGTTTGTTAACAAATTTATATCACAAGGGAAAAGCAGCATGCTCTAAACAGGACAGTCTAATGCTAAATCAAGAAATGGATTTAAATGGGCTATACAGAACATGCGAAAAATTGTCAAGAACTTAAGGGTTAATCACATTTACTGTTGTTTTTTTTTTTTTTTTACTGTCTGTTCTTAGCTTTGTTTTTTCTGGATAAATAAACATTTGTATTTTTGAAGATGCTCATTATTTGTTACTATGTGTTGTTCTATTGCCAGGATCTTAAGTGAAACCCTTGCATATACCAAACGCAGTCAGATCTATCACACTACTCCCAGTTACAGAGTAGTTGAACTATGTAATTACCTTCAGAGAACAATGAAAGCAGGAAAACTTACCTTTGACAGGACCTACTTCAGGGAAACAAGTTTACAGCACAAGTTGCCCATAATCAGGGTACCAGTTGTATTCATAACAATAAAGAAAACACATAAAATGTCCTCCTCTTTTCAGTTATTGGTATTCAACTGGCTTCAGCTGCAAGACTTTCTTTAATGGACAGCAACTGTCTTAATGTGTTTTCAATAATCATTGGCCAAGAGAGAGAATAACTGCAGGGGGAGCTTGCTCTGACCTGAGAGAGCTACTCTTACCTTAATCCTGTTGGTTTTTTCTGGTTATAGTTTATGATAGCTATGTATCCTGAATCAATGTCACTCAGAGCAGGATTTTTCAGGGAAGCAGAGGAAAGTCATGATCAGGTTGTCAAAAATTAAACTCTATATATTCTGGTTTTGGATATGTCTCACCTGAAGTCCAGGAAGATGCATGCTAGTTGAGAGCCACAACTCACTGTCTGACATTTTGATTGTTAATCTGATTGTGATAGAACACGTGAGGAGTACTGTTGAGAAACAAAGTGATTTTTGGAGTTCTAGTTTGCTCCCCTTCCTTCCTTCCTTAATGATTCGATTTTTCTGCCTCCCATACTTAATGGTGGTGAAAGTTCATTCTGACCCCTTCACATGTGTTCTGAGGTTATTTGATGACTAGGCAAGTTGACTTTCACAGAAAATGCCACTTTTAAAAGTGGCGGGAGAAAGCACTTTCACAAAGGGAAGTTTTCCAGCCAGACAGTTTCTTTTGTGTTATTTAATTGCTTAATAACTCTTGGGATTTATTGTACAAAAAGTTGAATTCTCTTTATTTTTAAACTATTAACCTTCTTAAAGGTGAACCGCTTTCTACAGCCCACTATCATTTTCTGGTAAAACCCTACATAGGTAGCTGGTAATTCTGATACTTACTTATCAATAACATGCGTGCAGTGATATTTCACATTTGTTGCAAAATCCTGTCCAGTACAAAGGAAACTCCAAAAATACTTAAAATTCATGTGAGCAACTTTTCAAAAACCATGTAGTACTTGCAGCAGTGCACTCCATGAATTTGAACTGAGGTCTCTGAATGAAGACTAAGTAAACCTATCCATTTGTGTCCTAAGTCTGATCTCCTATATAGACTCTTACTTAACGTGGGATTAAGCCTTTCATTCAGTCAAGGTATTATTAAAGGGTATGTTTTTTGTTAACCACCTGTTTTCATGAAACATCCTCTACCTCCTATATAATGTGATTGCTATAGGTCAACAAATTCAAAAGTTGCTAGAGGGGAGAGAAATGGTATGATCAGATATACCTTATTTTAGGAAACTAAAAATAAAAACGCTTGCATTGGGACAACACATTAAATGTATCTATCTCGCAAAATCCTACAGATCATAAATGGAATTTCCTTTCTTTGCTGTGCTACTGTCTTTCTTGATAATAAATAAATTTTAGTAAGAAAAGGGATAGTTAATTCAGATCGCTTGAGCTACTACACAAATATTTAAATTATTTATATTCTTCTGCATCTATTTTCTTGAATACAAGCCAGGTTTTCTGGCTATGATGAACAGCTAAAACAGCTTAGCCTCTAACTTGAGTCAAATTCATTGCAAATTACTGAAAGATTGCTAGTAAAGCTTTTCGATATGAAATCCCGTATGATTTAAAGTTACATGACTTATTTAGTAAGTTTCTTTATAGCCTATTAATTCAAATCACAATAAATCTAGTTAAAAGCCTTTGATGGAAAAGCAATGTTATTAAAATGTAACTGGAAGCAAAATACTGAGCAATGCATCATACTAAAAGAGCATTAAGTATAGCAACATATGTCAACGTCAAAGTATTGCCAGCTCAATCAGATATGATCCTTAATAAAACTCATTAACTCGATGACTGTTGTTGCAGTCCTTAATCCTAGTAAGAGAGCATCTGTATAACCTATGCTTCGCAACAAGAAGAGCAATGAAGAACATCGCAGCGTGAGCTGCCTTGAGGAACTACGAATGCCTTTGAAAGACGTTCCCTGTGAAGCCTGTGTGACAACTCATGCTATAGCCTCTACCAGAAAGCACAATGCAAGACATAGAAAGCATTGCCTTTCTCCTCCAATAGTCCTGATGAAGAAGCAAGTGAGGTCACAGAATTTGTCTGGAACTGTTTTTTCCAGTCTCCTAAGCAGGTGTAATCAGAGGTTACGTGCTTCAGACAGTTGCAAAACCGAGGTTCTTGAGAAAGAAAGAGGTGGCTACCATGCCTTTCTTTGCTTAGGCAGACTTGGATAGGTATCACAGTAACTGATTTTCCCATTAAATTTGAAATGAAAACATGGGGAAGCTTTACTACTTACTGACACTAGAAACCAAGGGATACTGACTGATACTAGATTGATATCTAGGCACAAGTCTTGAATTTGCCTGTTGAAAAATTCTGAGAAATAAACACCCTAGATTTTCCTGCTTTTAAAGACTGGATCCGGTATTGGCTATAGACATCAAAGTACGGTATAGAATAAATGACATTACTTTAGAAGCATCATCTAAAGCAGTCACCAGGACAGTCGCTGCCTAACTTAGGAGGTACCTTCCTTATTGCCTCTCCAGTTTTACAAGAGCTCTTGCACATGACCACAGCTCCCTAATCTCACTAACTGAAAACACCTTCCTTGCCCAAAAAGCCAACTTACAGCCTATCAGTAAGCTCACTTGGGTGGGTATTTTCAGAAAAAGTCTAATGCACCAATGGCATAGAGCTGTTGCTTGCTTAAAAAATGCAACCTGTGATTACCCCAGCCCAATTTGGATGGAATAGAAGGGCAATAAAAACTTTAACCTAGGGAGAAACTGACCTAGGTTTTGTCCTTGAGGAATTTCTGAC